TTTCTGCTCTCTTAGGTGACATCTTTTTAGAAAAAGGGATATTTATGGATTTATTTATTTTCCCCCAACAACTTCATTTTATTAAGATGGTTTCATTCCAAGTTATAACAATTTTAACTCAAGTTCAATTGGTATTTTTAAATGAAAGATGATAAAAAAAAATTGAATTGGATTTTCTTTGTTCCGTTAAGAGTTTTGGTAGAACCTGTTATAATATGGCTAAAGTATTGATTCAAGTACAATATTAGAAAGATGTAAGTGAAAAAATATTAGCATGTTCTTCTAGGAGAGTAGAAGGTGAGTAAAGAGCATTATTCAAACTATCTGAACAGGGGGATATGTCCATACTGACTCCAAGTTGCCTGGGTCTTGAGCTGCCTGGTCAGGTTCATCTGAAGTGGAAGGATGAGTCAGGATAATTCAAGGTATTGTTATTACACGATTCCCTTTCTGGAATGAGGTGCCCTTCAAAGTTGAGTCATCAATAGAATTGGGTGAGTGAGGTTCTGAGACAGTGCTTTCTAGGAGTTATCCTTCTAGCTCAGGGGTCATATAACTAATTAACCTTCCAGAGTATTCTTGTCTCATTTGTTATCCAAATTAACCAGGCAACGCACCCCACCAAGAACGGCTATGCATCCTTACCCGTGGAATCTAGAAAGAGTTGTCAATCAGAGATAGACAAGGTTGATAGAAGGACAGATATTTACTTCTATGATGAGCAAACAGGTTTCTAGTTAATTAACTCTGGAATTCATACTCACAGCACAAGGAAGATACAATGTACAAAGTACATTTCAACCTCAGGCAATTAACATAGGTGTAAATATGTCTCATCATTATTTCTAATGCTTTGCAAATGGGACAATTTTCTACAACGAATAGGTCATAAAAAGCCATGCAATAAAATGAGTTATACTCCACAACAATAGTGTTTTTGCTAATACTGTTTGCATGAAGTAGCACCTTAACTCTGGAATACATACACATGTTCATGCACACAGATACAGTACAAAGGAAAGTAATGTTCAGAGCAAATTTTAACACATGAAGAAATATTTGCTCAGCTACAACCTCAGAACACTGCCACTTTAACTTAAGAGCGATATTAAAGCATTTTCTTAAAAATTACCAAATTACTTCATCCAAGGATTTAGGTGTGTTTCTAAAAAGTATGAACCTAATTGCTCCTTGCTCCTTTATTTTCCTGTTCCTTTTTTTCCCTTTTTCCCTTTTGTTTCTTTAATTAAAATTTAAAAAAATTCTGTTTATTTCATTTTATTTGCCAAAGGGTGCCTATGCTCACCAAAGAGAGCAAAGAAGAAAGTGAGAGAGCATCTCTCATGGTGGCTAGTCATGGTCATGCTATAGTCCTTTCTCCTCTCCTTCTCCCTCCTATTGGGATTTTGGGCATGCATGCACATGCACCAAGTATATTTTTCAAGCTACTGAGTCCAGGACTCCAACTGCAGTCAGCCATGTGGTATCCAACTGCCTTAACCACCATGCCTCCAGCTGGCCTGTGTTGCCTGTTCTTTACATTCTTTTTCTCTTTCTCTTTCTTTCTTTTTTTCTTTCTTTCTTTCTTTCTTTCTTTCTTTCTTTCTTTCTTTCTTCCTTCCTTCCTTCCTTCCTTCCTTCCTTCCTTCCTTCCTCTTTCTTTCTTTATCTCTCTCTCTCTTTCTCTTCCTCCCTTCCTTCCTCTTTTTTTCTTCCTTTTTTTTTTCCTAGTGACTATGCAAGCTCACCAGAAAGAGAGAGATAGACAATATGTGAGAAAGTCCCCTCACCCCCACCCCATTTGGGATGGCCACATCACAGTCCCTTCTCTTCTAATTCTTCTTTCAGGATTTTGGGTATGTGTTCACATGCATCCAGCATGTTTTCCCAGTCACCAGGTTCAGGACTCGAACCACATTGTGAGCCAAGTGGGATCCATAAACCTAAACTAACATGCCACTGACTGTCCCTACATTCTTTTTCTTATGCTTTTCCTTTCCTGGTCTTCGTGGTAAGAGGAGACAGTAGTACTTGTGGAGCAAAGCTGGTGGAAATAGGATCAAGGATGCAGCCAGACTGAGGGGAATAGGGAGCAAGATAAGAGATAATTAAGAGCAAGGCAGCCAGTGGGGCCTTCAGGGATGGGCAGCAAACTAGTGTGGCACTTTTAGAAAAAAAGTTATATAGAGACAGAAAGAGGAAAGCCTGGAGGAATTGTGTAGAGTCGAGTTAGATTCAGAGATATCAAAGTGAGTTCATGTTGTTTGAGTAGGTGAGAAGATAGATAGATAACAGAGAAAGAAGTAGCTATAGATGCTATGTTTTTGTATATATAAATTTGTACTTCCTAGCTCTGTCCACTGATAGAACCTAAAAGCAAAACCACCCAGTACACAATGAGCATTCCCGGCACGTGTCTTCTCAGGGCCATCCTTCACTAAGAAGGTTCCTTAGAGAAAGGTCTGATTCAGGACCAGAACAGGAAGAGTAAAAGATAAGTCTGGAACGTATTGTTCCAGAAAGTGAGGGAATGTTCAAATAATGATGGAGCTTGTCAAGAGATACACGCGCAGCTACTAGCTCGATGTAGAATGATGCATCATCAAAACAAATAGTAATGTTAATGTATTATACCCATTGAATAAAAATAGTTTTTAATAAATCTATACTGATATGGACAGACAAGTAAACAGATAAATGTAAGAGATAGGAACATTCACTACTATAGAAAGCTAACTAATTAATGTAGATAAATTATAAAATTAGAACATTGCCATTTGGTCACCATCACTGTAATGATAAAAATCATCAAAGAATGCTAAATCTAGTAGGCATTAGTTTAAAAACATTCTATACATGGGAAAATTAATATGTTTGTAATAGAGGAACAAAGCAGAGAATTGGTCAAACCAGCTGATAATATTGTCACTGGGGAGAATCCTGCTTTTTTTAGTCCATAATCTGAATCTACAATGAGGAAATGTCAGGTAACTTTAAGTGAAAGATACTCCAGAAGATATCTGGCCTGCATTCGTCAAAAATAACGATGTCACAAAGGGCAAGAGAAGGCTGAGCAAATGTTCCATACTGAACCCTAATGAGACATGACAGCAGGCACAGCCCTAGTAGCACATGCTGGTTGACACTGCTTCTGGGTAGGCTGACACCACACAGGAGGGCTGGGTTCAAAACCTCCCCACACGCACCTAAAAAGCTGGGCATGACGACATGTGTCTTCCCAGCTATTCGGAAGGATGAGGCAGGAGGAACTTGATGTAGCAACACTCTCTTTTTAAAAGCAAAAAAAAAAAAAAAAAAAAAAGACATTACGAATAAGGTGATTCATGACTCTGGATTAAATCCTGGGCTGAAAGAAAGCATTTTTAATAAAAAAGGCATTATTGAGCCAATTGGTAAAGTGAGAAAGGGATTTTTAGATTTGATGATAGGATTTGATCAATGTTAAATTCCCAGTTTCATGGGTGTATGTCATCATGTCTGCAAATTATCCTCAAAGTTGGAGGAAAGGAATAGCTATATATGTATTTACATATGTGTATAAATATAATTGCATTATGTATCATGATAAATGTAACTGTTCACAGCTGGGGAACTTGGGAATTATTTTTACCATTTTTAGCATGTCTTTAAGTTAAAAACTATTTCAAGGGACCAGTAGATGGCGAAGTGGTTACCTTGCTGGACTTCCACACAGCTGATGGCGGTTCAGTTTCAGACCCAGTGGCTTGAAACTCATGCCGGGCACATGTGCTTGTGTGCCCAAAATCCTGAGAGGAGACTTGAGGAGAAGGGATTGTGGTGTGGTCATCTCCCCTGGGCAGTAATTTCTCACTTTCTATCGGTCTCTCTCTGTCTCTCTGGTGAGTACACATGTCCTATAGCAAAAATCTCTCTTAAAAAAATATTTTTCAAAATAGATAGTCAATAACCATGTATTACTCATTTATATTAAAATATATGAGAAAATTTTAAATAGTATATTAAAAGAAAATGATCATCTTAACAGAACTAATCAATAAAATTATCATTTTGGGGGGAGAGGTTTTTGCTATAGGATGCATGCGCTCACCAGAAAGACGGAGAGAGAGACAGAGGAACAGAAAGGGAAAAACCCCCCCCGAAGGGGGATGGCCACGCCACAATCCTCTCTCCTCCACTCTCCTCTTCAGATCTTTGGGCATGCATGCACGTGTGCCTGGCATGAGTTTAAGTCATTGGGTCCAGGACTTAAACTGCAGTTGACTACATGGGAGTCCAGCAACATAGCCATTATGCCAACTGCTGGTCCCCAAATTACAAAATTTTAAAATCTATTTTGAGTAAAAAATTTAATAAAAACATAGAAACCAAAAGTCAATAGTGTTATCTGTATCTCAATATTACTTCATACCTTTCAGGCATTATGCTATGCTGAATGCAAAATTAACAATGATCTTATTTTGCCTTTCATCAGATGTTTAGACTACTGCTTAAATTAAGAAAAAAAGTGACACACTACATGTAAGTTTTAAACTATGACTAATACCTAAAATTTGCAAAAATTAATATCTTATAAATCCTTATTAAGAATAAGTTGCTGGGACCAGCAGTTGGCGTAATGGCTATGTCCCTGGGCTCCCATGTAGTCAACTGTGGTTTGAGTCCTGGACCCGGTGGCTTAAACTCATGCCAGGCACGTGTGCATGCATGCCCAAGATCCTGAGAGGAGAATGGAGGAGAAGGGATTGTAGCGTGGCCATCCTCCCAGGGGGGTGATTTCTCACTTCCTGTCTCTCTATCTCTCTCTGTATTTCTGGCAAGCACACGTGCCCTATAGCATAAACCTCTCCAAAAAAAAAAAGAATAAGTTGCTATTTGTTTTTTTAAACTGATATATAAATGATACATATTTAGAATCAGAAAACTTCAGCTTTGTTCTCGAAGGAAAACTACATAAGTCAACTTCTCTCTCTCTCTCTCTCTCTCTCTCTGTGGGCTAGGTGTCGTACGTCAAAGCTATTGACATTTGGATGGCAGTATGCCTCCTTTTTGTGTTTTCAGCACTTCTGGAGTATGCAGCCGTAAATTTCGTATCAAGGCAACACAAAGAACTTTTGCGATTTCGTCGAAAGAGGAAAAATAAGGTAAGTGATGAAATGTGTGGGGTTTGGTGGAGCACCAATTTTACTTGAAAAGTAAATTTGCTGAATTTAATAGAGATGGGTAGAGAGAACATCGGGACCAGGGACTTGAGTGATGTACTCTTTCTTTTGTTTTGCCTAACTGACATCGCCAAAAATAGCTCCAGGAGGAAAACAGTAACACCTAGCTATACTTTAAACAGCCTATCTGGTGAAACGAAAGCTTTATCGACTTCTTTCTAATGTGCTTCCTAGAACAACATTTTGTTTTCTACCTTGATTGATGAAATATACGATTTTCACTTAGATCATTAGTGTGTCTAATGGTGTTACTTGATATAAGTCATCAAATATCATTATTAAGGTTGCTTCTTTTCTGATCTTATTCCTTTCTTTCTGTAAAATATTATTCATTAAAACCATGACAAGGTCACTTTTTCTGCATTAATTTTAGCTTCTGAAGACATTTCTTCTGAAACTCCTTGGCAAACACAAAAAAAAGTCCTACTTTTTAAAACAAATTTTGAGAGAGATTTTTGCTATAGGATACATGTGCTTGCCAGAGAGACAGATTGAGATGGAGAGACAGAAAACTAGAAATCAACCACCCCCACCCCTGGTGGGTGATGGCCATCCTGCAGTCCCTTCTCCTCCATTCTCTTGGGATTTGGGGCAAAAACGCACCTGCGCTCAGCATGAGTTTTAAGCTGCCGAGTCTTGTACTCAAACCCGTGACTTGACTACATGAGAGTCCAATGATGTATCCATTAGGTCTCTGCTGGTCCTCTCAAAAGTCCTAGTTTTGCCTTGCTAACATCTGATAGAAGATGAAGTTGTTCTCTGTTAAGACCTGTAATGGCATCTCCTTTTACTAATTCATGGTTTTGAACCACCCCCTTTCCTTTTCCGTAAGGGGAAATTTCTATTGACAACAAATTTGTGAGTTCATTTCTAATGTGGTTACACAAACTGACATTTCAAAACTAAAAGCACTTTTAAAGCAATAGAGTAATGCCAACGTTACATAAAATTGAGGCCCAAATCCAATTTAATGGAATATTTAAGTTCAAACATGATAGTCTGTTTCATATAGTATGTGTTTTTAAGAATTTTAAAGATTTTAATGAAGGATTCCTTGTGAATTCTAAGTTATTGACTGTAATCTATACACTTATTAAACATTTTTAAAACACTAAGATTCAATCTCTCAGTGCTTATGTCTACTCAGTAGTAAACATATTCTAAAGCATTAACTTATTCAATCATTTCTCACTGGCTTTCCAAAATTCACAGCTGCTCCAATAAATACCCAGTTAGCGTAGGAAGACATCGGCATGAGAGACCCTGAGCTTTACATTGGACAGAAAGCAGTGCTAAAGCTTGCATGTAAATTTTTATGAAAATGAAGGTATATTGTTTGTCTGTTGAAACATATTATGGTGGGGAGATTAACTTTTATCCTGTTCCCCCACCTCACTTGATTTATAGGTCTACTTACATTTTCTCATTCCTCACTCTCTCGCTGTCTCTCTTTCCTCCCTTCTCTCTTCCTCACTCCGGCCTGTTTGTTCCCCCTGTTCTCTCATGGTACCTGGTACTGGCTGAAAAACCACAAATAAACCCTGTCTCACAGGCTAGCAGCTCTCGTTTTTCTTTCCTATTAGTGGCTGATGAGGACATTTTCCCTTCTGGTGTCATTACTCAAAAGTAAAAGAATACTCATTTTTGCTGACATTTTTATTTGCTTTTTTCATGTTTACTTTCTATTTTTTCAGCATTTTTCTCCTCCATATTTGATTTAGAATGTATCGCCCATGTGCTGCAGAGATTTTTTTTTTTTTTTTTTTTTTTGCTATAGGGCGTGTATGCTCCCAGACAGAGAGACAGATAGCGAAATCACCCCCCAGGGGGGATGGTCACGCCTCAATCCCTTCTCCTCCATTCTCCTCTCAGGATCTTGGGCACGCACGCACACGTGCCTGGCGTATGAGTTTTAAGCCACTGGGTCTGGGACACGAACCATGGTCAACTACGTGGGAGTCCAGCGACATAGCCATTATGCTAACTGCTGGTCCCGCCCATGTGTTGCAGACAGGAGGAGTGAGAAGTACTTGTGGTACTTGATGTGGGAAGTCGAGAATTCAAACATTCAACACTCACCATACAGCCATCAGCTGCAGGAACTTCAAGTTAAAGTAACAGTCTACATGGAACCAGCAGTTGGAATAATGGCTATGTTGCTAGACTCTCATGTAGTAGACCACAGTTTGAGTCCCAGACCGGGTGGTTTAAACTCACCCTGGATGCATGTGCATGCATGCCCAGGATCCCAAGAGGAGAATGAAGAGATTGTGGCATGGCCATCCTCCCTGGGGGGTGATTTCTCGCTTTCTGTCTCCCATTTCTCTCTGGTCTTTCTGGCAAGC